AGGAATCCTGTTTGGTCGGTTTAGCCAGAACACCCTCACCGCAATTCCTTTTTTAGTAATTTTCTATCCACTGAACCCCACCCTATTCTCTGGCAGTGGATTCCCACTTGTACTCAAAATCGAGCCCAATCTCATTTCTCACCTGTGAAATCCGTTACAGTGGTTCTGAACCTTTTGCAATGGTTCTGAATTAACCCTGCTTTACCATCTTTGACAGATGTCATTGAATATTTTTTCTTTAATACCCCCAGCTACAATAAAATCTCAGGCCAGGCTCCTTTCCTTGCTCTCTCAAGCCGTTTCCGAGCTCCTAAGAGGCCCACTCTATCCTACCCTGAGACCTCAATTATGAGAGTTATAGGCCTTTTCCTGTGCAGGTGACCCAGAACTATTGGCACTGTGAGCAGCATGTCCCAATATGACCACCCTCATGGGTCTGTCTTCTCTTGCTCTGACTTGCTCACCTGCTCTACTGCCTGAAGGTGACCTACACTGAGGGCTGCTGAGTGCTGGGGAGCTGGTGCTATGAACTGTGCTAACCCATGTGACAGTGTTGAACCTACCAAGCCTCAGTTCTAGATGCAGTAGACCAGAGCTGGCTGTTTTAAGAATTACTAGGCGTGTTAAGGATTTTTGCATCTTTGTTCATCGGGGATATTGGCCTGTAATTTTCTTTTCTTGTGTCTTTCCTAGCTTTGGTTATCAGGGTAATAGTGGCCTTGTAAAATGAGTTTGGAATTTGTTCGCTCCTATCCAAGTTGTTGGAAGAGTTTGAGAAGGATTGGTATTCATTCTTTTTTAAATATTTGGTAGAATTAACCAGGGAAGCCATCTGTTCCTGGACTTCTCTTTGTTGGGAGGTTTTTTATTACTGATTCAATCTCCTTATTATTTGGCTGTTCAGATTTTATATTTTTATAACTCAGTCTTAGTAGGTAGTGTGTTCATTTTAAAAATGTATCGAATACTTCTAGGTTATCACATTTGTTAACATATAATTTTCATAATATTGTCTTATTATTCTTTGTATTTCTGTGGTATCCATTATAAAGTCTCCTTTTTAGTTTTTATTTTATTAATTTGAATCTTTTCTTTCTTTTTCTTAGCCTAACTAAAGTTTTGTCTATTTTGGTTTATATTTTTAAGCAACCAATTCTTATTTAGTTTATTTGACCAGTTAGTTTTATACTTTCATATATGTTCATGTTATTAATTAGCAATCTTTCATTTTAGTTTGAAAATCCTTGTAGCATTTCTTATAAAGCAGGTGTAGTGGTGATGAACTCCCGCAGGTTTTATTTGCAAAAGTGTTTCTCTTCCTTCATTTCTGAAGGGCAGCTTTGTTGAGTAAAACATTCTTGATTAGTAATTTAATTCTCTCGATACTTTGGGTATATTATGTCCCTCTCGCATGTCCTCAAGATTTCTGCTGAGAAATTTGTTAATAGTCTAATTGGGGCTTTCTTGTAAGTGACCAGTCATTTCCTTCTGCTACTTTCAAAATTATTTTTTATTTTTGATATTTTGATTAAAAATTTTTCTTTATGAAGTATTTTTCTAATATCAACCTATTTCAGGATCTTTGAGTTTCGTGTAGCTGGATGTCCATATCTATCCCAAGAGTTGGGAAGTTTCCAGCCATTATTTCTTTAAATAAAATTTCTATCCTTCTCTATTCTCCTCTAGGATTTCCATAATATATTTATTCTCTCTTTTGCTGGTATCCTTGAAATCAAATAAGCTTTCTTTGTTGCTTTTCATTAATTTTTTCTTTTTCTCCTCTGAGTAATTTCATGCCCTAACCAGTTTGGCTCAGTGGATAGAGCGTTGGCCTGCGGACTGAAAGGTCCCAGGTTCAATTCCGGTCAAGGGCATGTACCTTGGTTGCAGGCACATCCCCAGTAGGAGGTGTGCAGGAGGCAGCTGATCGATGTTTGTCTCTCATCGATGTTTCTAGCTCTCTATCCCTCTCCCTTCCTCTCTGTAAAAAATCAATAAAATATATTTTTTAAAAAAAATTCATTCGAGCGACAAAAACACAGTATATGATGATGAAAAATACATTTATTTTTTTAATGTATACATGTACACTGATAGTCCTACAGAAAACTCTATGACTCCGTTTGATATTATCAGTGGGACTTTTGCTGCTGCATCACTGATGACAGAGATTTTACATCAGGTTTATATTTCGTGACCTTCAGAGATATGCACGAGCTACTACTTTCATCCGTCAGGCTACTCCTATTACGAGACTTACCAAATTCATCACTGAGAACAAAGATTCACAATTGTAAATGGAAGATTATAAAAGAGGGTTTCGCATGCCAGCAAAAGTTACTGGTGTGCCATGTTTGGCATGCGTACCAGGGGTTGCCCACCCCTGCCCTAGGCCATACCTAACCTCAATACATTAAAAAAAAAAAAAAAAAACACAGTCCAGCCCAGCCGACATGGTTCAGTGGTTGAGCATGGACCTATGAGCCTGGAGGTCACAGTTCAATTCCCAGTTAGAGCACTGCCCAGGTTGCAGACTCAATCCCCAGTAGGGGACATGCCAATCAATGATTCTCTCTCATCATTAATGTTCTCTCTCATTCTCTACCTCTATCTCTGAAATCCATAAAAAAAAATTTTTTTTTTTAAATCCAGTCCAGGCTTCATTCCTTGCTCTTTCAAGCCATCTCCCACTTGCTTGAGAGGGCCTGCCCAGCTCTCCCTAGAGACCTCAGTTACAAAAGTCATAAACCCTTTCATACATTCCTGTTAAGTGTAGAGAAAACCCACTTCTTTCCTCCACTGGGCTTGGCGGCAATCAGACCCGCTGGTGTTTTCTCCGGTCACCGGCTGTGTCTCCCCGATAATGTTCAGTGGTCACAGGGAGGACCATCAGGAGACAATCGGGACTCATCTCGGGGGTTCCTACATGGGAGGAACATGTAGTCTGTGTGGTCCCCAGGCCATCCTTTCTCCCCAGGAGGACCTGTTTTCTCTTGAGTTTTACAGATGTTTGGGGAGCAGGGCCTCAAATCCACGATTCTGTCACCCCGGAGTTTGGGGATGTATATTGGTCTCAACTATTCATCCAGACTTTGGGTGGGGATGGGGGTCCACCTTTCAATGCAGGTTATAGGAAACATAACATAGTGTATATACATATTACAACACACTTTCCTTTTTTTTCTATCAATAAATCCTCCAGATCTTTTCATAGCAATACCCTTTGTTTTTTAAAAGTACATATAGTGATAAATTTATGTAACTCATTCTTTCTAAATAGACACTTGGCTTGTTACCAATTTTTGCTGCCAAAACCATGAATGAAAACTCAGATTACAACTTTACAGGGCAAACAAACCTATACAAATTATATTCTTTTCCAATCTTAATTACTTCTTAATTTTATCATCAAATATATTCAGAAAAGATTGTACAAACTGAGTTATGGTAAGACTTATTAATAACAGAACAAACACCCTTGGAATCATCATCAAGATTCATAAATGGCCTGTGGGCAGTGGTGAGGGTCTCCTGATGTTCCCATCCCTGACTCATCGCGTCCTACCCCTAGATGACCACTGTCCTGATTTATTCTTCGTACCTTTGTCGTCTATTATTTTTCACTAAGCAGTGTTCTTTCAGTTTTGCCTCCTTTTTGACCTTCCAAAGAATGAGTATTAATGGAGTTCTTTGAAAAGTTTTCCCTTGGATACTTAGCCTTCTGTGGACAAAAAGGGGACACATGCTAACCTGACAAGCGCTCAGGAAATGCCTGCATGACAGCCTTGCAAACTCAGAGACCTAAAATAACCACGCACAAAATGGTCTGGAATTAAAACTTCTTAACTAGCCTTAGCTGGTTTGGCTCAGTGGATAGAGCATTGGCCTGCAGACTGAAGGGTCCCGGGTTTGATTCTGGTCCAGGGCACATGCCTGGATTGCAGGTTTGATCCCCAGTGGGGGGGGGGGGGGTGCAGGAGGCAACCGATCAATGATTCTCTCTCATCATTGATGTTTTTATCTCTCTGTCCCTCTCCCTTCCTCTCTGAAATCAACAAAAATATGTTTTTAAAAAACTTTTTAACTAAAAGCAGTTTATGGCAGGTAGTCATGTCCTAGGCTAGAATCTTCCCTAACAAAAGTCAATCTTTACCTTAATTCTTTTGCATCTAAGATAACGGGATGTCAGAGTAACTTCTCTTTTTCCGGACCCCTCAGGGCACCAGAGCAGAGACTACAAATCCTCTCATTGTTATTTTTGTCATATTAATTGTTTACTATTAACTGTCCTGTACCCACCTATGTAAAAGATGTATATGCCTGTCATTTTATCTTTTGTCCAATCCCAGAGGCCCTCCCACCATGTCTTTGCTTTCTCCCACTTCCCTAATCTATCACCAACGAATTTCTTTTCTTTTTTAATATATATTTTTATTGATTTCAGAAAGGAAAGGTGAGAGAGATAGAGACTTCAGTGATGAGAATTATTGATCAGCTGCCTACTGCACGCCCCCCACTGGGAATCCAGGGCAAACCCGGACCTGGACCCTGACTGGGAATCCTGTGGGACCTCCTGGTTCATAGGTTGATGCTGGCATCTGGGGCTTGGGGGTCTGGTCTAGCACTATGGGCTTTAAACTTCCCACCGGAGCCAAGTGCCCCCAAGACCACAGGGTTCTTTAAAGTACCAGGTAAGTGGGGGTGGGGGGCAGAAGGGCGGACATCTCCTTGCTGGAAATGGTCAACCTTCAAAATGGAACCAGAGTCATCATTACATATGAAGAGGTCTTTTTTAAGTGTGTCTGTTTTTGAAGAAGGGCCATGAGTGGCCTGACAGCCTTATAGTTAAAGGTCAGATTCAGACCCAGTACTAAGACAAGGTCGGCTCAAAGACGTAACCTCCAGCTTGCTGTCACTCAGGCATGAGGGGGCGGGATCTCGCAAACTGTCCAATCAGGGGAGTCGCCGAGAACTACGTGAGGGCGGCGCTCTGGCGCGGACTGTGGTTTCATCGCTTCTCTCGCCATCCGCCGGCCTTTCCAGGCGTCAGGTAGCTTCTCCACGCCCTCGCCCTCTGCTGCTGAGACCTGCGCCTCTGCGGGGGGCAGTGTGGACCACAGGGGGCCCTGAGGCCGAGAAATGGTGAGTGTGGCCGGGAAGTCAGGGAAGGAGGTTGGTGGAACCAAACCACCGTGGCCGGGCCTGCCTCCCAGAGGACACTCCGGAGTTTGGAGATGTGAGGCCGCCGGGAGTGGGGGGCGGGGGGGTTGGGGATGTGAGGCCGCGGGGGGGGGGGGGGGGGGGGGGCGGCACGCAGCTTAGGGCTCGGCAGCAATCAGACCCGCCGGCGTCTTCTCCGGTCACCGGTCACCGGCTGTGTCCCGAGAATGTTCAGAGGACACAGGGAGGACCTTCAGGAGACAATCGTGGCTCCTCTCGGGGGTTCCTACGTGGGGAGAACTGTGGTCTGTGTGGTCCCGGGCCGTTCTTTTTCCCCAGGGGGACCCGTTTTCTCTTGAGTTTTACAGATGTTTGGGGAGCGGGGCCTCAAATCCACGAGTCTGTCCCCCCAACCTAGGTCTTTCTGGGACTGGTCGTAAATCCCTAAATTTCCAAATCTTTCCCCGCATTCCCAAACGCCATCTTCCCCTCCCCAGTCCACAGCATCATTAACTGTTTGACCGCCCTGGTGCATTTCACACTACACAGTATTTCAGCCATGGATGTTTCTCTTTTTAAGGATTTTTTTTTGCCTATGGATGTTTTATGGAGGAGGAAGCGTGGAATGACCACCTGGAATTGTGTTGTGTAAAAAGCCTTGTGTGTCTCCCCCAGGATCTTTCGTGGGCGCAGACACGCTATGGGTGTCCCTTTTGGAAACTTCCCTGGGTGATCTGCCCTTTTCATCACAGTTCCAGGTCTCTTGAGTTTGTGGTTTTATTCACTTTAATTTTCCATTTTTTTCAATAAATATAAATGTATTTAATCACTAGATCTTGAAAGACTATAAAATATTTCCAAGGAAAAGGTGAATTTCAGGAAAAAATTCCACTATTACATCCATTTGTTAAAAATTTTTTTTCCTTTTCCATGGGCAGGTGTAGAAACATTGTGAGATCTGTTATTTTGGTTGATTTTAAATGCAATATCAGGGCTTAGACTCGCAACATCTAACAGTGTGTTTAATCGTTTTCCAAATAGTTACTTGTCATGGAAATAATAATTAACTAACATTTATTATCTAAAGGAATAGTTATTTGCAGAATTTCTTGTTGAATCAGAAAAATGCTTTACAATATTCTCCCATCCTTTACACATAAACTCTGGATTTGAGTCATTTTACTGGGTTGGTCAAACAACAAGTTTGTGTATTTAAAATATCGGTGTCCAAAATAAATAAATATCGGTGTCCAGAGCAACTGGGAGGGAAGCAGAAGCCTGAGGTCAGTGTCTCCAAGCTTAAGCCGGCTTGAGCCTGAAAGGGAAGTACTTGAAGGCCCCGTTGGTTCTTCCTGCGGAGCCCCCCCTTATAGGTGTCCCACCTGCTCACACCCACCAGGGAAGGGCCTTTATTCTGAGACAAGCTACAGCCCTGAAGGCTGGGGATAGGGAAAGAGGGGGAGAGGGCCGGAGGCTATCCTCTCTAAGGTGTAGCTGATTTCCTCGGTCCTGTGTCTAGATACAGGCTTGAGGATTGCATCCGCTGTGTAGGTGCACTCAGTAGTTTGTGTACATTGAGAAAGTCTGTGAAGGTCAGTTCTGTCTTGGTTTATGAATTTGGGAGTTACTTGAGGGGGTGAGACCTTAAATTGAATCTGGCTAAGAGTTTCCTCGCTTGTGAGAATTAAAGCCTGAGAGAGGAAGCCATTCCATTACCTCAGGAAAGGGGTGTGTAGAGCTCCCGGAGTCCCCCACCCTTCCATCATCAGGGACTGACCCACTTGAAGAGTTGTATCCCGCCCTGCGTCAACCTATGAACCAGGAGGTCACTGTTCCATCGATTCCCAGTCAGGGCACACCGTCCCGGGTTGCAGGCTCAATTCCCAGTAGAGGGCATGCAGGAGGTGGCAGATGGATGATTCTCTCTCATCATTGATGTTTCTATCTCTCTCCACCTCTGAATAAAAATATATATATATTTTTTAAAAGAGTTGTATCCCAACACGGGTATATGGACTGCAAGTTTCCAAATGTGGGTTTTCTTCTGAACTGTGGGGAAGAAGGCAGTTTATCTTACCTGATTTGAAGATTTACATTTCTTTCTTTGGATACTCATAATATTGCATATTGAAGCTCTGTACTCTAGTGTTCCTGAGCAGTCTGTAATATTATTTTCTGGGTGAGTGTGTAAGATTTTTAGTTCTTGGGCTTTCAAAATGTAAGTTGATTGAGGGAGACATGGGAGTAAGGTAAGAAAATCTGAAACCAAACAAAATACGTTTCTTTTGGGCAAGAGAACCTCAAGATAGGAGATGAGTGTCTTTGAGCTCTCAGGTCAATTTTACATTTTAAGTCAGTTTTCGTATTTGCATGTCCCTGGAGAGCTCTAAATTTTAAATGCTGTAATATTGCTTAGGCAAAAGGAAAATGAAATCCTATTTTAATTAATAGAAGAAAAACAACTCAAAACTTACATAAATCTTTGAAAATCCTGATACATCTAATGGATTAGGCCCAAATAAAATTATGATATGCTTTGCCCTGGCCAGGCAGCTCACTTGGTTAGAGCATTGTCCAATAGCCAAGGTGGCAGATTCCATCCTAGTCAGGGCACATACAAGAATCAGTCAACCAATGCATGCAAACTAAATGGAACAAATCGATGTTTCTCTCTCTCTTTCTCTCTCCTTTCCTCTCTGCTTTCCTCTCTCTATAATCAATAAATAAAAATTGTTTAAAAGTATAATGTTTGCCCAGCCTATGTGGCTCAGTGGTTGAGAGTCGACCTATGAACCAGGAGGTCACAGTTCGATTCCCAGTGTGGGGTGTGCAGGAGGCAGCCAATCAGTGATTCTCTCTCATCATTTACATTTCTTATCTCTCCTACTTCCTCTTTAAATCAATAAAAACATTGTTTAAGTATAACATGGCCCTAGCGGGTGTGGCTTAGTGGATAGAGCATCAGCCCGTGGACTGAAGGGTCCTGGGTTCGATTCCAGTCAAGGGCACGTATCTTGGTTGCAGGTTCCCCAGCCTTGGTCTGGGTGCATGCAGGAGCCAACCAATCAATGTGTCTGTCTCACATTGATGTTTCTGTCTCTCCCTCTCCCACTCTCTCTAAAAGTCAATAGAAAATATCCTTGGATGAGGATTAACAACAACAAAAAGTCTAATATGCTTTTATACCTGAAATAATACCCCAGTGTGATATGTAAGGAGAAGCTATAATGCCTCTTGTTATTTTGGTTAGAAGAAGAGTTGAGATTTCTTGTGTTTTTTTTTGTGGTTTAAACTTTTATAAACATTAGTGTTTAAAGGATTATATCTTAGAACTAGAGGCTCAGTGCATGAAATTCGTGCACTGGCAGGGAGGAGGCCTCAGCCCAACCTGAGCCCTCTGGCAGTCCAGGAGCCCTCGGGGGTTGTCCAACTGTGGGGAGTGGGCCTAAGCCAGCAGTTGGACATCCTTAGCACTGCCGCAGAGGCAGAAGAAACTCCCACCACTGCTACTGCGCTCACCAGCCATGAGCCCTGCTTCTGGCTGAGCAGTGCTCCCCCTGTGGGAGCTCGCTGACCAACAGGGGGCAACTCCTGCATTGACTGTCTGCCCCCCTGGTGGTCAGTGTGCATCATAGCAACCAGTCGTTCTGCCGTTCAGTCAATTTGCATATTATCCTTTTATTAGTACAGATAGTTTTCTATATTGAAAAGAAAAAATGGAATAAATTTTAAATTAAATTTTAAAAAGCAAAAGTAGTTTAAAATAAAGACTATTAACACATTGTATGCGAGAAACGTGTTTACACGTTTTATGTATTTATACGTTCTACCAGTGTAGTAGAGCGCGGGACACGTATAAATACATAAACTAAAGTTATCGTAATTTTACTGAACGTTGCCATTTGCACAAAAATGGCCCGCGCCACCTGTTAGCGCGCGATAAAAACTACCTGCAAACAATGTGTTAAATAGGAAAATATTGTGTGTGTGTATATATAACTCAGCTTATTTTAAAAAATAATGCATGCAATGGCTAGCAAAAGTCTATGTAAGATAAGGTTTAAAGTCAACTCACTGCTCGAACATCCTGGTCCCCTCAGGCTCTTGTTTCAGCCATCCGCAGTAACCAATGTTGAATTTCTTAAGCATCCTGTTAGTGTTTCTTTATAACGAGCAGTTGAACCCCATACTTTTTAATATTTGATTGCTCATGACTGATTCCCCCTCCCTCTGCCCTGCAGGCTCCCACCTGGACAAACTGATGAAAAGATCTGAGTGGTCTTTCCTCTAGAGATGGCAGGAAATTCAGATGACACAGGCTCCTGCCCTTGGACAAGGATTCTTGCCCTGGCCCCAACCCCAACCCCAATGAACACCCAGACCAGGCTCCTTTCCTTGCTTCCATCTCAGAGCTGCTTGAGAGGCCACCTTACCTGCCTAAGACCTCAATTATGTGATCATAGGGTTCTTCCTACCACGCAGGGAATGTATGTGTATATGAGCCCACACACCAATATCATCAGTCCCAAGGGAGCCATCCCTCTGCAGGTGACTATAGCAGTGGGTGCCACGAGCCACCCAGTGCATCTGTCTTCTCTTGCTCTGACCTGCTCTGCTGCCTGATGGCAGCCCTCACTGTGTGCAGCTGGAGAGAGTGCTGTGAGCTGTGCTAACCCCTGTAGCATTGCTGAACCTACCAAGCTTTAATTTGATGTTCAGCCTACCAGAATTGGCAGTTTCGAGAACTCCGAGCCTTGGTCAGTGTGCCCCAGTTGGTTGGGCGTCGTCCCAGGCACAGAAGGTGCCTGATCTATTCCCAGTCAGGGCACATGTGCAGATTTCGGGCTCAGTCCCAGGTAGGGGGCATCCAGGAAGCAGCGGATGGATGATATTTCTCTCTCATCGACGTTTCTATCTCTCCAGCCCTCCCTTCCTCTCTCTCTGAAAATCAATACTTAAAAAAAAAAAAATCCAAGGCATTT